CCTAAACGGGCAATTTATTTATTTTTTTTACTTTTTTTATCATTTATTCATTTATTTGGTACAGGGTCTCACTATGCAGCTCCGATTTGTAGCGATCCTCCTATCTCAGCCTCCCCAGCTCTGGGATTACAGGCATGCACCACCACAACTGGTATCCAAGGCCGGCTCGTGGCATGTCGGATTTGTTCTAATAGTGTGTGTAAATAGGATATCATGTCTGCATCTTGTACAGCAAATAACCACTAGGAAGAATGGATGCAATGTGTTAATTATTGAAACTGTCCTACCAATTTGGTTTGAAACTGTCTCACTGCTATTTGTTTCTCAATAAAATTATGGGGAAAAAAAAAATAAAAACGAAAAACACCGGCGTTAAACCACTCCATTCGAGGAAATGGACTTAAGAGATGTCTCGGGGGGGGGGGGGTTATCCACCAACAGCAGAATATGCCTTTATTGTAGAAGCACATGGAATTTTTTCTGAACTAGACGGATCTTAGGCCATAAAGCATGCTTAAGGATAGAGAAAAGATCTGAAACAATTCCTTGCATACTGTAACCCCTGGATCACAGCACCATGAAGCTAGAAACCATCAGCAGCACAATAATCATGATGATAATAACGCAAAAGGACAATGAATCGAAGAGTTGGTTCTTTGAAACCAAACCAGGGGACCTGAGGATGGAGAGAGATGACAGAGAGGGGAACGAAACCGGAAGTAGAAAGGAACAAGACACGATAGGCATGTATACCAGGTCCCCCATGGTGTGTTTACGACATATCACAAACATGTACAAATAAAAAGGAGGTGAATACAGAAACGGACCTTTGGTATTAAAGAAAAGAGTCAGTTATCCATCCTGCCTCTAGCTTGCTGTGTGTCACTGTGTCCACAGCTTCTCTCTGAGCCTCAGCCTTAGCCGCAGGACTCCATGCTCTCTCCTGGGTCTAAAATTCTCCAACTGTAAACTCTACTTCCTCCAGGAAGCCTCTCCTGACTACTTCAGCCCATAACCACCCTATGGATCACACAGTTACAAAGCTAGGAAGGCTTTCTTCCCACCCCTGCCTCTTCTTCAGGGGGGAATGCTTATTCCCAGGACCAGATCCTTGACAGGTAGCACACTGACCAGAGTGACCAGCTGCTAGGGCCAGGAAGGGAATGGGAGCTCACCCTATGGAAGGGGGCGCCCCACCTGTGGATACCACTGCAGCCCCAAGGGAAGCCCTTTCAGAATCAGCAGTTCAGAGACGGGAGCAGTTGTTTGCAGAAAAAACAAGCTTCCTGTCCACAGAGGATGGTGAAGGTGGGATGCCCACAGGTTACAGGCACTACAGAAGCAATGCCAACACGAGATGCCAGGCAACTGTGGTTCTTAGGTAACTGATGAGCTGGAGTATGCTGAAGATGGGCTGCTGGAAAGGAGACTGGTTCTTGGTTCTCTGTGCCAGTTCCAGACCCATTTGTGGGACAAGAGAAGGTCCACTTGTGGTGGCCTCAGGAAATGGTCACATACTGGTCTGGGGTTGAGGGATGGGGAGGTCATGTACACAGCCATCAGGGCCATCCAGTGACCACCTCCTTCACTGCCTGCCAACCTCTGAGCCTCACTTCTGAAGGTGGCTCATGGCCCACTGACCTCAGCTTTCAGGACCCTGGTGCCAGCTGGCTGATCCCTCCTTAAAGTCTTCTTTCCAGCCTTCCTAGGAAGGCTCCCACACAGCCACTCTCTGTCCCTTCCCAGTACACTCCCTGCAGACACAGTGATAGGGGGCTCCCAACTCTCCTGCACCTTCCTACGACCCCTTCCCACCGCATAAGAGTAACTCTCTTACTTGGTTGCTGACAGAGGAGTCACTAGGCATGCTGGAGCCTTCTGAGATGACTCTCTTGGACAAAGCGGCATCTGGAGAACACAGAGAAGGGACAGGCAGCTCAGAGAGGGGCATCCTGGCCTGGGAAAGGGATGGGCAGAAGGGCTTCGTTGCTTCTCCTGGATACACTTTTTTCAGGGCATCCAGATGGCTGGCAGTTGGAAAGAAAGCTCCCTAACTGCAGAGGGAGAGAGACCCAGCTGGAAGGAAGGGAGAGAGAGTGGCATCTCAGAGCCCTAACCCGTGTACCTCTCTCCATCTCTGAATCACTAGCAGGGAAAGATGGGGGGACAGTCCTAAAGCCATTCCTGCCCATGAACTCCATGGTGAGGGCCTCATGATGCTCTTCTTCATCTGTTTTTATGAAACATAATCTAAACCTGGCCTGCTTCAGAATAAAATAACCCTTCTTTCTGCCACTGCTCAATTACAACATGCAAGGCAAGCTATTTAACTCATGGGGCTCATTTTTCCCCAAAATAAGAAGCATTCAGCACCACCCACCTTTTGTGGTAGGAGGACTGAATCCAGGGCCTTCACACTGAGCTATAATATCAGCCTTTGACTTTTTACACTTGGAGACAAGCTCATGCTAACGTCGCTAAGTTTCCCAAGCTAGACTTGAATTTCTGATCCCCCTGCCTCAGCCTCTCACAGTTTTGAATCTGCAGGCATGTGCCGCCCACCACCCACAGCCAAATATCTATAAGCCTTTACATGACCAATGCCTGGGTGCTCACCTGTCCCCTGAGGGATGCAAGAGATGAGGTCCTGGAGGCGCACCTTGATCTCGTCAAAGCTGTCAGTGCGCACCGGGGACTGCAGGTGCTGCGGCTCCTCCTGGCGCAGGCGGCACAGCGCCTCGCGCAGGAAGCCGTGCATGTCCAACATCTCCTGGTCCGAGGCATAGCGCTTCATCCTCTGCACCAGGGTGCCACCAACGCGGATGCGCTGCAGCACAGCGTCCAGGCGACTCAGGCGTCTGGCCATGCCCTCGTAGTCACGCTGGTACTGTGCTTGCACTGCCTCCAGCAGCTCCTGCTCCCGCGCCTGCACATACGCCACCACCTGGCGCACCTGCGCGCGGATCTGCTCCTCCGTTTCGGTGCGTGCGTGGCCCAGCTGACGGATGGCCGAGCTCACCTGCTCGCGCACCGCTCCGAAGGAGCCATCCTGCTCCTGCAGCGCGCGCGCCATCACATCCAGCTCAGACTGCCACTGCTGGATTTCCATGCTGATGTCACACCTGAGGTCGCCGTGGTCACTGTCTAGGATCGCGCAGGAGCAGCACAGAGGCTTGGAGCAGCCCCGGCAGTAGAGGCTGTGGACACACAGGGCCATCCTGGGTCAGGGCTCTCCTGAGCCTTTTCCCTTTCAGTTTTCCTTATTAAATTAGTCTTCCTAAGTTGCCAAACTTCCTGTCATGCTTCTAGGCCTCTGCTTTCCCCAATTCTGCACGGTTATGGTGACTGTGCCCAAACTATCAATGAAACCGAGTGTAAAAGGTCACCACAGTAACAATTTGTCCATCTGTGTAACCAACTCTTTGCAAGGCTGAGCTCCCTGCAAGGGAAGCCAGGGGCGGACATGGAGGAAAGGAATTCATCATTACCCTTAGCTCTGCCAGAGCCCATCGGGTGCGATGAATCGCGCCACCCTCTTTGAACAGATGGGAAATCCCCGCATGCACATATCAACCCAGTAGCCACATATCAAAACCAGCTAGGGTAAGGATTCCCGAGCCCAGGTGGAAGCTGGGCTGCATAGTGGAAAGCAAGAGAAGGAGGCTTCATCCATGGTTCTAGTCTCTCCCATTCCTCCGTCACCACCTGAGACCCCTCCTGGTGGCCTCAGAGTCTCACGGGAGTGCAGACCCTACTGAGAACGGTGCATCAAGGGATCTAGGCTGCTGGCACCTTTGAATCATCCTGAAGCCATTACCACCCAACCCCAGCATGGAAAAAATGTCCTCCCCGGCCCTTATTTTAATACTTCATGTATTATATTTTTTAAATTGTATTTGGTACAGGGTCTCACTACGCAGCTTAGACTCAGTGATCCTCCTGTTTTCAGCCTCCTCAGAGCTGGAATTACAGGCATGTGCTGCCACGCTGGTCTCAGTGGTAGAGTCTATGTGCCCAGGGGCAGAGCCGGCGTGGTACTGGGGATCAAACACCGGTCCTTGCACTTGGTAAGCAGGCATTCAGTCAGCTGAGCTATCTTGCCAGCCCTTTTAACATATTTTGATTAAGGATAAGTATGTGAGGTAATGGATATATTCCTTAGTTTGTATTACACAATGTATACATAA